GCGGTGAAATTTGTCACAAACATTTTTAATGAGAACTTAAATCTCTTTGTAAAATTTTACAAGAATCGGTCCATAATTGACCTTAACCCCCATATAAAGTCCCCTTTAGAAAATTACTTTATCGCCCATAACTGGCTAAGAGAACAAACATATTCTATGAGAACCTAAATCTATTTGTAAAATTTTATAAGATAGGCCCATAATTGACCCTTCCCACCATATAAAGTCCCCGTCAGAAAATGACTTTATCGCACATAACGGGCTAAGGGAAGCATCAATAGAGGCGAAATTCGGCACAAACGTGTTTTATAAGAATTTAAATCTCTTCGTAAAATTTTGTAAGGATCGGTTCATAATTGACCCTACCGCCCATATAAGGTCCCCTTCAGAAAATGACTTTAAGGCTTATTACTGACTCAAAAATGTGAGTACATCGATGAATTTCGACATAAACAATTTTCGTATTAGCTAAAATCTCCCACTAAATTTTATGAGGATCGGTCTGTAATTGAGCCTACCCCCCCTATAAAGTCCCCTTCAGATAATGACTTTAACGCTCATTACTGACTCAAAAATGCGATTACAGCAGTGAAAATCTACGTAAACAAGTTTTGTATTAGCCAAAAACTAAAAATCGTTTTAAATTTTAGAAGTATCGATCCATAATTGACTTATACGAGTGTGGGCGTATAGGGGCGTCTTTAACGAATCACTCCAGAGAATCACTTTAACGCTCATGTATGGCTCAAAAGTTCTTCCAAATTACGGTAGTTTTATAGGAACTGGAAGTTTTCAACTGAATTTGATGAGGATAACTAATCAAACACCCATTTTCGGTTCCCTTCAGTAAATATTTTAAACCTCATGACTGAATTAAACATACAAGTACAGCTACATTAGATACAAATAATTATTGTATAAACCGACATGGATAGGTCCATAATTGACTCTACCCTCCATATAACCACTCTTACAAAAAAACAGTTTATGGTTATAAATGTTGGATCAAACAAAATAATATTTTTAATTCGGAAGAGCACGGTCCATGCTTAAGCCCTTATTAAATTCCCTCTACCAAATATTTCCCTGATGTTCATATTGATATCGACATATGATTCAACATAGATCGATAATATCAAAGTTTATTTATAAGGATGATTTGATGGTGGGTATATAAGATTCGGCATGGCCGAATATAACACTCTTACTTGTTCCTATTGTTATTTTATTTTATCAAAGTCATATATTATTTTTAGTTTTTGTTATTATTTTTATTTGAATTTGTTCTTAATAAAAATATATAATATGTATATTAAGACCCCTAATGCTGTTATTTTCCTACTCATATATTTTCATCTACACATTTAGTTGCAGTACTAAACTAAATAAGTACATTTCATTTAATAATACTGACTGCTAAAGTAAGTTTAATACTGATATTATTTATAAGAGATTTTATATTTCGATATGGTTGTAAAGCAATATTAGAATTGGAATTTAGAAAACCACAAACATGTGGTGAAGATACAAAAAAAAGTAGGAAGAATTAGATTTAGTTACGTATGAAGTACCAAAAAGTACATGTGATGACTTTTGTACTAAATATTTGTGTACTAAATCACCCAACCCTTTTTCTAAAATTATTATGAAAATGTTTATTTACGAAATCCCTTTAAAAATTCAAAATATTTGTTTTGCACCCTAATTAAAACGTGTTCTAAGGCAAATTTAGTTCTCTAAACCAAAACATATTTGTTTTTTATTTATTTACTTAAACGTCAGCGTAGTATATTTTTTTAAAATATATATTTTTTTAAAAATAGCTACTCCTACAAATCTAATTAGTTATAAAAACAAATATTGACAAAAAATAAAAAAAAATACTTTTTATAATTTTCATATTTAATCAAGTCTATAACGTAAAAAATCATACACGAAAATTTTTCCATCAGATGTTTTCCCATTTTCGAAACTCTTGAGATTATTGAGATGTTACTAAAGCAGTGATCGGCATGCGTATCCACAAAGGCAATAGGGGCATCAGTCATTTGTATAAATTATTAAAGAAAATCACAACAGAAAACCTTAACTAGGTTTCAACAAAGACGAGCAACTTTTGTGTTTCTTGTGTTCTCTTTGTGCCGTCCACTGTTGTGTATTTAAAGAAGTTATTTAAATCACAAACAAATTATATATTTTTATTTGCACGAGTGACAAGTTATTACTATATAATATCATTATTTAGAGTTTATTTAAATAATACCTAAAAGTAGGGAGATTTTACTACTCGAAATATATTAATTAAATATTTAAATATATACATATGTATGTCACGAAATATTTAGCATATACAGGACATATATTACCAGACAATAGTCTAGGCAATAGAGTATAGAATAGACTATAGACTACAATTGACTATAGACTTGAATATAGACTAGATTATAAACTAGGCTACAGACTAGACTATAGACTAGGCTTTAGGCTGGACAACAAACTAGACTATTGACTAGACTATAGACCAGACTATAGACTAGATTATAGAATAGACTATAGAGTAGCCTATAGACTAGACTATAGACTAGACTATAGACTAGACTATAGACTAGACTATAGACTAGACTATAGACTAGACTATAGACTAGACTATAGACTAGACTATAGACTAGACTATAGACTAGACTATGGACTAGAATATAGAATAGACTATAGACTAGACTATAACTAGACTATAGACTAGATTATAGACTAGGATATAGACTAGACTATAAGCTAGACTATAGACTAGACTAGACTATAGACTAGACTAGACTATAGACTAGACTATAGACTAGACTATAGACTAGACTAGACTATAGACTAGACCAGACTATAGACTAGACTATAGACTAGACTATAGACTAGACTATAGACTAGACTATAGACTAGACTATAGACTAGACTATAGACTAGACTATAGACTAGACTATAGACTAGACTATAGACTAGACTATAGACTTGACTATAGACTAGACTATAGACTAGACTATAGACTAGACTATAGACTAGACTATAGACTAGACTATAGACTAGACTATAGACTCGACTATAGACTAGACTATAGACTAGACTATAGACTAGACTATAGACTAGACTATAGACTAGACTATAGACTAGACTATAGACTAGACTATAGACTAGACTATAGACTAGACTATAGACTAAACTATAGACTAGACTATAGACTAGACTATACACTAGACTATATAATAGACTATAGACTAGACTATAGACTAGACTATAGACTAGACTATAGACTAGACTATAGACTAGACTATAGACTAGACTATAGACTAGACTATAGACTAGACTATAGACTAGGCTATAGACTAGACTATAGACTAGACTATAGACTAGACTATAGACTAGACTATAGACTAGACTATAAACAAGACTATAGACTAGACTATAGACTAGACTATAGACTAGACTATAGACTAGACTATAGACTAGACTATAGACTAGACTATATATACTAGACTATAGACTAGACTATAGACTAGACTATAGACTAGACTATAGACTAGACTATAGACTAGACTTATAGACTAGACCAGACTATAGACTAGACTATAGACTAGACTATAGACTAGACTATAGACTAGACTATAGACTAGACTATAGACTAGACTATAGACTAGACTATAGACTTGACTATAGACTAGACTATAGACTAGACTATAGACTAGACTATAGACTAGACTATAGACTAGACTATAGACTAGACTATAGACTCGACTATAGACTAGACTATAGACTAGACTATAGACTAGACTATAGACTAGACTATAGACTAGACTATAGACTAGACTATAGACCAGACTATAGACTAGACTATAGACTAGACTATAGACTAGACTATAGACTAAACTATAGACTAGACTATAGACTAGACTATACACTAGACTATATAATAGACTATAGACTAGACTATAGACTAGACTATAGACTAGACTATAGACTAGACTATAGACTAGACTATAGACTAGACTATAGACTAGACTATAGACTAGACTATAGACTAGACTATAGACTAGGCTATAGACTAGACTATAGACTAGACTATAGACTAGACTATAGACTAGACTATAGACTAGACTATAAACAAGACTATAGACTAGACTATAGACTAGACTATAGACTAGACTATAGACTAGACTATAGACTAGACTATAGACTAGACTATATATACTAGACTATAGACTAGACTATAGACTAGACTATAGACTAGACTATACTATAGACTAGACTATAGACTAGACTATAGACTAGACTATACTATAGACTAGACTATAGACTAGACTATAGACTAGACTATAGACTAGACTATAGACTATACTATAGACTAGACTATAGACTAGACTATGGACTAGACTATAGACTAGACTATAGACTAGACTATAGACTAGACTATGGACTAGACTATGGACTAGACTATAGACTAGACTAGACTAGACTATGGACTAGACTATAGACTAGACTATAGACTAGACTATAGACTAGACTATAGACTAGACTATAGACTAGACTATAGACTAGACTATAGACTAGACTATAGACTAGACTATAGATTAGACTATAGATTAGACTATAGATTAGACGATGTACTAGACTATAGACTAGACTATAGACTAGACTATAGACGAGGCTTTAGACTAGACTATAGATTAGACTATAGACGAGACTATAGACTAGATTATAGATAACACTATAGATGTCAACAATAGTTAAAGGTCAATAATGTAAATGTTCAATTTAATATTGAAATTTCCATATTTTTAAGTTAAAAATATATGAAGCAGGATCACAAAAGTTAACAGGTCAAAGGTCAAAACTAACTGATATGAATATTTTAAATTCTAAATTAAATCTAATATTTAATTAAAGTATTATTAAGAAATTAACAATTGTGTACAAAATTTGCAAAAGCAGATTTTTAATATTTAAAATGTATATTTTAGATAAAGAAAGTACAGAAAAATAAAATAAAATACAAAAGAAGAAAAAGAGATTAAATTTACTTAAAGAATTTAAATTAAATAATAAAAAAGTTCAACAGTGAAAACGGAAAATAAAAGTGTGTTTCAGATTAATTAATAAAATATAAAACAATCAGAATTTTTCCATACGAAAAGTGTTCAACAACAAATTCTTTAAATGTGTATAAAATATCGAAATTACACTCAAAATTTTAAAAGTGCTAAGAAAACTTTAAGAAATTGAAAAGAAAAACTATTGTAACAAAAAGCTTCCCTCTTTAACCAACTAATAACTCCACCACATAAAAATTTCTAAGTGGTCATGCATGATTTGAGCATAACAATTGTCGAGGAGCATACAAAACGTTTAAGTCGCAATTTGGCCTTAACACAAACCCGGCGACGTACTATTACTTTCCAAGATCCGCAGGAGATTGAAATACAAAATCCCGATTCTAAAACTACCATAATAAAGAATAGCAAACAGAAATCCTTTACTTCCACCACTACCACAGAGCGAGCTTTAAGGCCCGCTAAGGATCCAGTGACTTCAACTATAACAACCACCACTGTGGCAGTGCCGTATAAGAATTTTAAAATTTGGACTGATTATGATAGGGAACAAAATTTCTTATTACACATAAAGGAGCAAAAGGACTTCAAGGATCAGCAACAACAAAGACAAATGAAAAGTATATGATATATGGATGAAGTAGAACCCCAGCGCCGAAATAAGGGTTCTAAATTAATCATTGATCTAAATTGATAAGAAATTAAGAATAAGGACATTTTTGAAAGCTTTAAATTTATAAATTTTTGTAAGTATTTTCTGCTAATTGACACAAAACATTCTTTAATAATTTATTCTATATCTTTACCCTAATAATGGCCCCTTTACTTATAAAATATTTAAAAATTCTTTATACTCAAGTGATTTTTTTCATAATTTCTCTCTGTCGCACGTGCGTTTGATTTATATTTTTGTCCAAGTCTTGAATATGAAAAAGTAATTGTTCCCATTTTTCTATTATTTGGTCTTGGCCACAAATAAATACATAAACAATTGTCCTTCTTTTCACAAATAGTTTTCTTCTGGGTCAAATGATAATATGAATAATAATAACATTAGGGTGGCGTTTATTTTAAAAATTCAAAAAAAAAAACAAACTAAAACAAAAACATGATCAGACTATAATAAATAGACCAGACTATAGACTAGACTATAGACTAGAATATAGACTAGACTATAGACTAGACTTTAGACTAGACTATAGACTAGACTATAGACTAGACTATAGAATAGACTATAGACTAGACTATAGATTAGACTATAGACTAGACTATACACAAGACTATAGACTAGACTATAGACTAGACTATAGACTAGACTATAGACTAGACTATAGACTAGACTAGACTAGACTATAGACTAGACTATAGACTAGACTATAGACTAGACTATAGACTAGACTATAGACTAGACTATAGACTAGACTATAGACTAGACTATAGACGACTATAGACTAGACTATAGACTAGACTATAGACTAGACTATAGACTAGACTATATACTAGACTATAGACTAGACTGTAGACTAGACTATAGACTAGACTATAGACTAGACTATAGACTAGACTATAGACTAGACTATAGACTAGACTAGACTAGACTATAGACTAGACTATAGACTAGACTATAGACTAGACTATAGACTAGACTATAGACTAGACTATAGACTAGACTATAGACTAGACTATAGACTAGACTATAGACTAGACTATAGACTAGACTATAGACTAGACTTATACTAGACTATAGACTAGACTATAGACTAGACTATAGACTAGACTATAGACTAGACTATAGACTAGACTATAGACTAGACTATAGACTAGACTATAGACTAGACTATAGACTAGACTATAGACTAGACTATAGACTAGACTATAGACTAGACTATACTAGACTATAGACTAGACTATAGACTAGACTATAGACTAGACTATAGACTAGACTATAGACTAGACTATAGACTAGACTATAGACTAGACTATAGACTAGACTATAGACTAGACTATAGACTAGACTATAGACTAGACTAGACTAGACTATAGACTAGACTATAGACTAGACTATAGACTAGACTATAGACTAGACTATAGACTAGACTATAGACTAGACTATAGACTAGACTATAGACTAGACTATAGACTAGACTATAGATAGACTATAGACTAGACTATAGACTAGACTATAGACTAGACTATAGACTAGACTATAGACTAGACTATAGACTAGACTATAGACTAGACTATAGACTAGACTATAGACTAGACTATAGACTAGACTATAGACTAGACTATAGACTAGACTATAGACTAGACTATAGACTAGACTATAGACTAGACTATAGACTAGACTATAGACTAGACTATAGACAGACTATAGACTAGACTATAGACTAGACTATAGACTAGACTATAGACTAGACTATAGACTAGACTATAGACTAGACTATAGACTAGACTATAGACTAGACTATAGACTAGACTAAGACTAGACTATAGACTAGGACTATAGACTAGACTATAGACTAGACTATAGACTAGACTATAGCTAGACTATAGACTAGACTATAGACTAGACTATAGACTAGACTATAGACTAGACTATAGACTAGACTATAGACTAGACTATAGACTAGACTATAGACTAGACTATAGACTAGACTATAGACTAGACTATAGACTAGCTATAGACTAGACTATAGACTAGACTATAGACTAGACTATAGACTAGACTATAGACTAGGCTATACTAGACTATAGACTATAGACTAGACTATAGACTAGACTATAGACTAGACTATAGACTAGACTATAGACTAGACTATAGACTAGACTATAGACTAGACTATAGACTAGACTATAGACTAGACTATAGACTAGACTATAGACTAGACTATAGACTAGACTATAGACTAGACTATAGACTAGACTATAGACTAGACTAGACTAGACTATAGACTAGACTATAGACTAGACTATAGACTAGACTATAGACTAGACTATAGACTAGACTATAGACTAGACTATAGACTAGACTATAGACTAGACTATAGACTAGACTATAGACTAGACTATAGACTAGACTATAGACTAGACTATAGACTAGACTATAGACTAGACTATAGACTAGACTATAGACTAGACTATAGACTAGACTATAGACTAGACTATAGACTAGACTAGACTAGACTATAGACTAGACTATAGACTAGACTATAGACTAGACTATAGACTAGACTATAGACTAGACTATAGACTAGACTATAGACTAGACTATAGACTAGACTATAGACTAGACTATAGACTAGACTATAGACTAGACTATAGACTAGACTATAGACTAGACTATAGACTAGACTCATAGACTAGACTATAGACTAGACTATAGACTAGACTAGACTGACTAGACTAGATAGACTAGACTATAGACTAGACTATAGGACTAGACTATAGACTAGACTATATATTATATATTGTAGACTAGAAGGATTAAAAATAACAAGTTAATTTTAAAGTTCTAAAAAAATATTATAAATTACCGATTTATAATGACCTTTAACTATAAAGGTCATTCCCTAGAAAGTGAATTTTTAATGAATTTTAAATTAAAACTTTTTAATTCAACTGGAGTTTTGCCAAGTTAGGGTATTAAATAGAACAGTTGAATTATAGAAAAATGATAGGGGTCAAAGCTCACGAATATCTTACACTAGAGATTTAAATTTTTGCCACATAAATATTTACCATACTATTATTCTAACAGTTTATATAATCTAAGTTTAGGCAAACCAACTATCGCCTAACAATATGCAAATGAACAATAACAACTATAACCATATGTTTATAGTAAATGTCCACTTTATAACATAAATTATTACCGGCTTAGACTGGAATGAGTGAAAACGATTTGCAAATCAAATGCAAAATTTTAAACCTCTTAAGGACACTGAATAAATTTTCTGCTAAATAATTATAAGTGTGACAAAATATGTAGATTTTTAAAGGCCATTTTTAAACCATAAAGAACAGGAAAAGCCTGTTATGAAGATATTTATTTAAAGTAATGTTTTTTTAGTTTAGAAAGAATTCTAATATATAATTGAAATTTTCACACAAGCAACGTTCATAATAGACTAAAATTTTCAAGAGTAAAAAATACAAATTTAACAACTTTTAAATTAAGACAACAATTTGCACGTGATAAAATGGTAACCTTTAGAGGTACAAAATAACAACTGCATGATTTATTACTAAAACTTAACAAGAACTGAACTAGAACTGAACTAGAACTGAACTAGAACTGAACTAGAACTGAACTACAACTCAACTACAACTGAACTAAAACTCAATTACAACTGAACTTGAACTGAACTAGATTTGATCCAGAACTGAACTAGAACAGAACTATTTAAAACTAATTTTAAACAACCCTCGTTTTAAGGGTATTTACCCTTTTCTTTCGGTGTAAATTCTTTTAGTATTTAGATAGTTTATGTCTATTCATTTAATTAAAAATTTATTTTATTATTGTTTAATGACAATTTTTTTTTTAATATTTACAATTATTTTTCATTTGTAAATATTGTAAGACTTTTTGTTTAAATTTTTTGCAATTTACTTAATAAAAATATTAAAATACTATGACGTCAACAAATAAGTCAACACACATAAAAACACAGTTATTTTAACAAATATTTAATTGAATTT